CTAAAATGCGGTCGGCAGATGCAGCTAGCTCGTCTAAGGCGTTGTTCTGGAACGAGACCAGAACTGCTTGCACCTGTTGGGGAAGTTTTGACAAGAAGAGTTGTTTGAATAGGCCTTCGTCGAAAGTTCTTGGGCCTATAACCTCTCTCATCCGTTGCAACATGTCTGTCGCAGAACCGTGTTGCAGGTCGATATTGTTGAAGAGTTGATCAAACCTTTGTCGATCGGTTAGGTCTCCTCGTTTAAGAATCGAGCGTTTTAAGATTTCGTAAGGATCGGAAACATCACTAATAAACATACTAGATGTTACGTACCTGTTGAATTCGCGCGGTAGTGCCTTGACTACTGCGAGGAATTGTGCACGTGTGTCGATCACGCCGTGCTCGGAGAAGTCGGCTTCGGCGTAGCAAAACCAGGCTTCGATGTTGTCGGGCCAGAAAGGCATCAGTTGAAACGAAGGCGGGGACAAAGTCTTAAGCTTGAGTACTTTAGGTGTCTGTTCAGTCATGATGAAGTATGAAGTACGATAATGAACGAGGGGAAAATATATATGTATCCAAGAAAAAACACGAAAAAAATCATAATGTTTAAAAAAATTAAAAAAATAAGGCAATGATATATAAAAATCCCAAAAAGGAACAGACTCACAGTTGCAATTAGGTGTACCAGATCACGTCGGTTCCACCAATGATGATGTCACAGGTATTCAGTGTTTGACAACGCTTCTACCAGTAACACCTTCTAATGTATTTCGTTCCCGCCCAGAGAAATCAAAAGACAGAGTCGAGGAGATTGGAAGAGTATATTTGGCGATGACCAATATATCTGAATTCTCTGATCTAATCTGGCTAGCGATTGCGGTTGATGTTGAGCACGGCGTTACCACACGTGATCTGGTGCGGATGCCTGACCGAGCGCCTTCAGCTAAATGAGTCCACTAAAACATATGGTCAGCATCCAATGTCGAAAACCTAGTGTTATTTATTTTGGGGATTTATTTACCGCTACAGAACCAACCTTTTCTATTTACATATTTTATTGATAATATGGATAGGTTCCTACATGGACGTATTGGTGATCCACTACTACTGGATAAGATACGGAAGCCCGTTAACCGAAAGCTTCCTCTATTCCGTCCAAAACTATTTGGGCCATCTGGACAATTTGACCTTGGGTTTAGTCAAACATGACCTTGTTGTCGATGGTTGGCAACCTCCAACGGCAAAATAAGTAATAGAAGGTAAATCTTTAACCTAGATCAAATAACAAAGCCCCGACAAGGAATCAACCTGGTCAAATTTAAATTTTAGTGCATTATAATGCTTAAATAAGTCACAAGAAGTGTGCCAGTATGTTATAACGTGCAACGTATCTATAGTGTACTTCCGTTTTTATTTCTATCATAAGACTCAAAACGAAATGGATAGTATGGATCTATAGAACAATTTAGACGGGAGTCATTGTTAGCATGCTTAGTAAATGTATATTAATTAGGTTTTTAGTACTTTAACATCATTTATATTTCGAAAGAAATCTGTTAAAGATCTTGCCAACAGGTTTAAACGAACTTCGGCACAATTTAGGGTAAGATAGTATCTAAATTGTGTTCATTAAGTTCTGTAGACAGAACATAGTCTACATTCGGTTGTTTTTTTATCTGAAACATCATCTAGCATGCGTCAGAAAGTGTTCTTAACATAGTGATGTAAGGATTTTTGATAGTCACTATAACGGTTTTATTCATATTTGTGGATTGCATGAGTGATAGGTCTTGTCATAAATTAATTAAATTATCAACGACACCTACGCATATCAAATTTATAACACTTAAGGAGAAACTGGAATATGCTGAGTAATTTGGGTTCTATAATGATGAATGACTTGATTCTGCTATAAAGGTCTCTCATCACTCCTTAGGGTGTATTCACCACTTGGAAGAGTAATCCTACAGTAGAAACGATGTCCTATTACAATTCACCTATCGTAACATGAATTCTCGGCGTAATTAAGTATGTAACTGAATTAAGCATAACCAAGTGCTCCACATATTACGGCAACCGGTTTCACGGTTATATTTAATTGTTTAAGACCCAATGTCCTCCACCTTTTCTCTCAGGAATAACGTCTAGCTGAAGCTCATTGAGCTCAGCAGGTTATGCTCGAGAATGCATCGCTAATTTTAAGCGGAGTTATGCGACCTAACGTAGACCATAGTTGTTAATTGGAACTCTTGTGCAACGACAGCCTATCTAGGCTTGTTCGCAAATGTATGCAGCCAAAGCTATAAAGGGATAACTATAGTTTGGCATTTCTTAGCAGACTGGTTTGTAATCTGATATGGTGGTAAATGTCTCTGCTAATAAGCTTTAATTTTATATATTCACAATTTCTTAAAAAATTCGAACACCGGTAGTCAAATGTGGGAAATTATATCAACGGCTTTATGATGGAAACAGCTTTCTCTGCCCCGAAATGGCCTGGTGCGGTCGACAGTGGGGAGAGTCAACTCTCCCTTTTGAGATGCACTCGCATGGTCACGTGCACACTGTCAGGGAAGTCCTACTCACCGCCTTCTCGCAGCGAGAGTTTTTTTACGAAATTGAAAGGACGAAGAGTGAATGTCCCGCGCTTTAACCGGGTTGGTGGACATGGAGAGTCCACCTAGGGGAGTTGGGAAACCCTGGTTCAAAACCAGTTGTGCACATGGGCTCTACTATCCTAAGGGAACAAATGGCATATGAACTAGTCGTTGGTCACCGACTACCATGGGACTGCATCTCCTTACGTTTCTCCACTGCCTTGTAGATTAGACCTTTAGGTCGAAGGCTCCGGGTGTGGTCCCCTAAGAAAACCACCTGCTTCGGTCTGAGCACCCGGGCATTATCCTAGCCCTCACACAAATCGAATGATTTGTGTGGCGCATACCTATTTAGTGCCTTCTTTTACCTATGTTTATGTGTTTAAATAAATAATAATAATTCTAATACTTGACCCTTCATACTTTCCATCGCAAGTGCATGAAAGCGTGAACGGCCGGGCTGTGCTTTTTCAAACTTTCCAACCCTAATGACCAGTCCAAAACAATTGTTTTAATGAGAGACTTAATCTTTACTGAAAAAACCCCAGTTCCTGCTATCGTTATTACTGAGGATTGTTAATAGACTACTGCGTTTACAAGCATCCATTTTTGATCTTGAAACTTGTTCTTTTTATGCTATGTGGTAACCGTATATCTTCGAAAATTTTTTTCTACAGTCATAATATTTATTGCCACTTTTCAGGGATCGGTAGAGATATTACCACCAGGTAGTCTAAGGAAAAACCAGTTCAGATGGCCTAGTTGTCCAATAGTCAATCTTTTTGTCAGCTTTATGTTTATTTATTTATTTATTTTAACACATAGATATTGTTACAAGGAGGCACCAAATATATATGCGCCACACAAATCTCATTCGATATGTGTGAGGGCTGTGATATTGCCCGGGTGCCCGAACTAAAGCAGGTGGTTTTCTTAGGGGGTCAATCTCCGAGCCTTCGACCTGAAGGTCTGATCCACCAGGTAGTGGAGCATTGTGAGGAGATGCTGTCCTGTGGTAGCCGGTGACCAACAATTGGTTCATACGCCATTTGTTCCCACAGGATACTGGAGCCCATGTGCACCATTGGTTTGGAATCCGGTTAAAGCACCAGACATTCGCTTTTCGTCCTCTGATTTTCGTAAACAACAGCAATGCCACGAAAAGGCGGTGAGTAGGACGTCCCTGGCAGAGGCTATATACGCGTGGCCATGTGAGAGCATTTCGAGAGGGAGAACGGACTCTCCCCACTCTCGACCGTACTAGGGCATCTGGGGGCCAGCTTTATGTGCTCGTGTGCAACATGTATGTAGGACATACACCCGTTAAATTTAGTAAATACAATAGTATAGTGAATTCGGTCCCACTGAACATTTGAGGATGACTAGATTATAAATATGATTGTGTTAGCAGTAGTAACTACTTTGATGAAAGGCTACAAAAAACTGATTGACAACAATCATGCATGTTTATGTTCTGTCCAGACTTTTCTGGTTGGTTGCGCCTACAACCTCAATTCTCCAAGTTACATGTGCTATAAATAAAACCCAACATATATTTTGTCGATGCAGTCCCACACAACACTTTAAAATGACCGTAGATTAAATTTTTTCAGGTGTGTTAGGATGTTTGTCTAACTAAAAGCAAAAGTCATCTTGGATGTTCTGTAGATTGGATACTCATTCGATGCTGCAGTAGAGTCCTGACACTTCCTTTACATCTCCCAGCTTAAGATACGTGCGTAATCTATGTTTATCCTCAGATATCGTAGTATGGCTCATTGAAATCAGTTTCGGAGTGAGTACTATAACTTATCCCTTATTATGAAATCGAAAGTTATTAACAGCAATTTTTGTGTATAAAAGGAAGAACTGTCTGCTTGGGATTTGTTAACAATACATAACTCACTAGGCAAAGTACTAGGTATCATGGGTTGGGTCTCTATCATATATGCTTCAGCGTAATCACCCTAATGTAGTTTTTTTTATAAACTGTTTGAAATCAAAAGGATTCATCTTGATAACTCGTTATTTTGACTGTATTTTATGATAATTTTTTAATTAACCTAAGAAACTTATTGTATTTTCAAGTAAAGAATAAAGGTAAGAAGGAATTTTTTTCTTCTCGACAATCTCACTTACTGAAGCTGTACAGCCATGTTCATGGTGATTTAATTAATGTATGAGTCGATAAAAAAACCTTTATGACTCAACCTATTTCTACTTCTACACAGACGTCTATGGGATTTCACTTGTTGATTTTTTTGCGATGTGGTCTTGTGTTTCTTCACAACGTTGCTACTCCGTTTTTATGTGCTGTTTCTAGAAGCACATTTTATGTTATAATTAAATAAATAACACCATTTTTTACTGTTTAATCGATAGCACTGTGTAAACATTAAAACAGCAGCTTATTTTATCTTCCAGGTTTATTTGGCTGCAAAAAAAGCTGCTAATTGACGACTTTTCAAAAGCCATATCTTCTCGGAGGAATTTCTAAATTATCGTTCTATGTCAATAAACAGTAAGTACTATTAGTTAATGTTGGGCACGATAGATCCCCAAAACTCATGTTTTTTTTAAAATTTTATCTTATCGATCAAATGTTTAAATATTTGTATGGGGGTCAATTGATGAACTTATTGATTAATGTTTAAAAATTTTCCATGACAATATCGACTGTAAATATTTGTATAAATACTCTTGATTTGTGTGCTTGAATTGACTTGTAATCTGCTGTTTGCCTGTAGAATACACTTTCTACGCCTCATCCAGACTTCTTGATGGAGTTAGCTGAGTCGGGGACAGCGAACCACAATAGCTATCGAGTCTCTGAATCATTGATTCTTCGTTCCTTTCGAGCAAGACGAATCAGTAGTAGTATTCCAGCTTTAACAAACATAACAGTTAACTATTCCAAGTAACTATAACTTCATATAATCGGCATTCTTTTTCATCATATGCGGTATCGGATTATATAATGGTGTACAGATTAAAGCATTTGCGTTTTGGTTTACATGGGTTGTGTATTACACATAGTAAACCAAGTTTACCATTGTAAGACAAAGCGGCTTATGCCAATCAGGATTGTATTTGGTTCCTTTATGATGTTAGTTTGGCCGTAAAAGGTTGGATCTACTAGGCGTCGGTGAGGGCAGCTTTGCTCTATGCTTGTGAAACCTGGCCTTTTCGAGTCGAGGATGTCAGAAGACTGTGTTTGACCACTGTTGTCTCCGAGGGATCGCTGACATTCAATGACAACGCCGTATTAACTCAGAGGTACGGCAACGTTTATTCGAGTAAAGCAATGTTAACTCAATTGATGTCACCATCTTGAAACACCGACTCCGATTGCTCGGATATGTGCTACGAATACCGTCCTGGCCAATCCCTCATCGCGCAATAATTGTCGACACTAGGGACTTGTTTGGAAAACTGTTGAGATCGCCAGTGCATGACATGGTTTCGTTGCACGAAAGAAAGTTGTACAGGACAGGCTTCTGTCGATCTTTCACGACTCCATGGTTGGAGTCCTAGAGATGGTGCAACACTGGCTTGAGACTTTATCAGACATGGCTCAGAGTAGAAGCCAGTGGCTATTCTGCTATAAATTTCTTTTACTTTCTTTACAAAAGTGAAAGTAACGTTTTTAACCGAAAGAATTCTTTCTGGTTGTTTTTTTGCCAACTGAACTTCTCTTATTATTATTATTATTATTATTATTATTATTATTATTATTATTATTATTATTATTATTATTTAGTATTAATCTCGTTCGCGTACACTAACTTCTATTCATTGTTGTTCTTATTTATTATACTCACTTTCCTTTCTCTATTTCCTCGCAACCTCATTTTTATTATGCTGCATATATAGTTGGTGCCCCCTTTGTACCAATATCTGTGTCTGAATAAGTAAATAATGATGGACGATATCAGAGCTGATGGTAATATGGAAATAGACTGAAAGATGGCGCTAATTTGCGATACTAAATTTTTTTCTGAACCATGTAGAAGAAATGAATTTATCAACGGGAATCTTTGATGTCGAATTTTTATGCTGTTTCGTCAACATTTGAAAAGATGAAATAATTATGTAGTCTATTAGAAGGACTCAATATTTCATTATAAGTTTTCATAAAAATATTTCGACAGACTACTCTACTTCGCTATCATCATCTTCATGAAAACATATATGGACTTCTATCCCTTTTTCCATTTCCAGTGTTCAATAGATTAGAAATTAGTAATGACATAGAAAATATATTAAGAATAAAGTAATAAACTGGAGCCATAATTTAACCCTTAAATCTTCATTTGAGAGTTTTTATTAGTTTAACGTTACTTCACCTTCTTATAGACCTTCCTGATTTAAATGTTTTCCGCAATACATACCTTTATCTCTGTATACAGAAAACTAAAGGGATTAAAACTAGTGGTCTGTAGAATGCTTTACTCTTTTCTGTAATATATGCTTTCTATGCATTTAGTGCTGCTAGTTATTTGTTCGAATTGATAATCACTTGCATCACGGAATGATAACTAAGAAAGTGATTAAAAACTATGAGTCACTGAACAGTTGTTCTGACATCGTCTAGACTCGTCTGTATCTGCTTACAAAATAAACCCCAGTACTGTTCGGTCTTACCGTGGGTAAGTCCTATAGTTGGCAGCTCCAACTTCAGTCAATATAGCAAGTATTTCAACCACTAGTCAGTTTCATTGATGTGTTTTATTTATTTGTTAGTACAAATATACAGCGAATAAAGAACGTGAGTAGAACACTAAGGAGGAAACCCGAAAGAACCCTTTCAGTCAAACAAGTCGCTCCTTATTTTACGAAGAAAGTAAATGAAAATTACGGCGGGATTTCCATTGGTTTATATTTTAAGCGATGTCTGATGACATTACAAGTCACTAAGTGTCTCTCTCTCGAACCCCAACCAAGGAGTTGTTATGAACTGGTAAATAAGAGTCCTATATACCCTCATTTCATATTCCGGTACTACGTCATAAACTGACCACCTCCCGTTTTTCTAACCAGTTCCAGCGTCAGCAATTAATGCACTATGTGGCAGTTGCTACGACAGCCAAATCATATAAAGGTGCAACAAGGTCCCCCGATAAGCGCTCGCAAAACAAGATTTTCGATTTGATAAATGGAGAGCTAGTTTCCAGTACTTCACTACAGTCTTGAATATACAGCTAACATCTATGTTGCCATTTTCCAAAGAAATAGCTAAACCTATCTGTTTCCGATATGCATCAGTGTCTGAGAGTTGAGGAAGACCAATTTGAATGACACATGTAGTTTCAGAAAAGCTGATTGGGAGTCCATATTCTGTGGGAACATCCAAACTTTCGACCAATCAGTGACGTGAGTTCGTTTAGACAGAAAATTTCTACTGTAAATGAACCGTATTAGTTTAAAACTAAGCAGAATGAAAACATAGTATAATAGAAACGTGGTCGAGGGTAAGATAAAAATACATGAATTAAATGGTAGTAATTATCTTTTGAGTTAGTAATAAAGCAGAGTAATAAAACCAATTACTTCATAATCATTCACTGTCACTGGTGGATATCTGTTTCATTTATAACTTTTTCTGAGTCAATATTTTATGGCCTTATTATAATTTCAGAACGACTATCTAGAAGCAAGTTATTCAGCCTGACTCTAATCCTTATTGTGAATTGTCTTTAAATATACTACTTTTTTGTGTACAATGGTAAGTAAAGACCGTGTCCAATTCTCTGTACGTCATAAATAAGACATTTTCTACTATCAGAAACAGCATTCAACTGGTTGAAGCGTAAGGGGTCACTCTAATACGTTGTTGATTTAAGTTAGCACAGATACCATTTTAGTTTTATCTGTAAAACGAATACTTCGCAATTGGCGGTAGTAAAATGTCCCATTCTATAAAGCCACATTTGTTTCTATCGATCAGTACACTCGTAGCCAGGTAAGTCATCCAAAATACCAACTACTAAGGTGTTGATATAGTTGTTGGAGACAATAATCAGCGTAAAACATATCGGCCAAGACAAAAAGTATACTCAAAGCGATTAGTTAAGTCCTTCAAAGTTCACGTTCACAAAGTAGGACGAAAGCTTAAGATCGAATCTTTAAATTTTATCTGTAAAATATAATAAAATTCTACTTAATTAGATGTTCAAATATGAAAAATATTTCGAATTCCAGTAGAAATGGCAATTCAACGTTTCCTTATATAACAAAATAGGCCTACAAAATTAAAACATCGTCTTTACAAAATATTGTAAAGCAATAACCATTCAATAAAGCTTGTACAAAACAGTTATCTGATTGAATATATATATATGCAAATAATTATATTATACAATGTACATTTTATGTCTTTACTTTTTCATATCAAAAAACCTGGAGTTGACAGTTGGACTCGTGTTAAAAATACTTTAAAAAGCTTATACTCAATTGGATTTTTCCGTGAAATATAATAATCGAAACGATGCCTGTTCCTTATCCTCAACATCCGATCCCTATTGAAGCGCTTTCTGAATATGACATTCGTGAAATACTCTTGGATGGTCATGAAATTCTTGAAAAGTATGTTTAGTGTATCCATTAATTGAAAATAATCAGGCCACTAACTCCAGCTGCAAACTTCCAGAGGATTATTAATCACATCGATTTTTCTGAGAGCAGCAGTTATAGTGATAATTGTTCTCAGAATAAAGAGTCTGAGTTTTTTCCAAAGAACTTTACACCAAAAATATGGGAAAATGTTAAGGAGACCCTACGGTATGTCGTATCGGGTATATCTAATTGTTTTTAGTACTACCTTGATTGAAATCAATGCTTTGGTTGACGTTCTTTCTATCATCAAAGAAGGAAAATATCTGGCCATTAATCCTGTTGCTGATGATTCGCAAGAAACTAATCTTTCTCTTTACCTATCTGGGAAAAAACGAGTTAGTTTAATCAAATTCTTATCTTATTTATTTTGAAACGAGTAGTCTATCGCTGCTGCCGCTGATATCTTAATGAAAGGTGCTGAGCGTCTTCGTCGTAGACATAGTGAATTGATTGATGCTAGAGTCCGACGATTGAATTCAGTTGTACCTCCTCAGTTTGATAGTGCTCATAACTCCTTCCATAAAGCACTAATGCATTTACGCCAAGAATGGAGACTAAAGTTGCATCAAAATTCTATTTTAGGTGATGTTAGTCTACGGTCAGTTGGTTCTCACTTTAGGGAGTCTGGTAATTTCGAGATCCGGGAATCAGATGGTTTTGCTGATAGTAAATCAGATGTGGAGTCACAAGACGACAAGTGTGTTGATGCAGTAACTGGAGTTATGGTAAGAGATCATTTATCATTTGTCTGTAATTAATATTTTCTGCGCTTTATATGCCGTTAAATTTATAAATCATTTTTAATGTTATAGATTTAATGGATATTGAAATATGAAGACGTTTGTAATTGAAACAAAATCTAAGTAGTAGTTAATTTCGATTCAATTACTTCTGAACTATCTTTTACAATCTACAAAACTCCATTCTAATTCAGCTTCTTAGACCTCATTATTATCAGATGGGTTTTTTTGGAGATTGTAGTAATTTCAATGGTTAAGATCATGAGTCAGTTGGTTAACTGGTTAAGTGCTCGGGCGCGAAACTAGTAGGTCCTGGGTTCGAATCTCGCAGGGCGCGAGGTCGTGGATGCGCACTGCTGAGGAGTCCCACAATAGGACGATACGGCCGTCCAGTGCCTCCAGGTTTTCCATGGTGGTCTAGCTTCAACTGACTCATGATCTTAACCATTGAAAAGACCTCATTATGTTCAGCTATCAATTAATTGAGAGGCTTGCATGTGGTCGTACTTCATCACACCATCCATGCAGCCGTATTAGTAAGATCGGTCGAATTTCAACATAATTCCGTATTAGCTATAATACGTGTTAGGCCAAGTAGGACGATGTTCGGATATTCGCCAACGAACATGTCCAGTTGTGCGACCTATGTAACTAACCTCAGAAGAGCAGTTTGATTGGTAGACTAACATAGATGAGGCGAATTCAAAAAGTTTCTTGTTGTAAAAGATAATCAACGTTGATTAAACGATCTATACTTGTTTACTTGATACAAGGAATTAAGAGAACATAAACATAACCTCCCATAAAACTGGAGTTTTTAAATGACTATACTAGTGAAATGATAACGCAACAGATCAGTAAAGCCCGGGAAAAAACGTTTAGTTCAGCCAAGCGATAAACCTTTTTCTACAACTGTCTCATCACACCTGGAAATAAAAATAGAATTTCCAAATTCTCCTTGCCGATATGTATAAGCCGATCGAACTATTTTTGTATAAGCCATTTATATCCGGCCGAAAATTAGGCAAATCCGTCATCAGATTCCAGGATATCCTGCTCAGTTTAGCGAACGACAATTAATTATGATTTAAAGCTTTATTAACTGATAAAGAAAATCAAGTGAAGATAAACAATGCTTTCCAAATGATCCATCGTATTCCAGATGGATTAACTCCAAAGCTCTTTAAGGATGATGGTCCAGTTTTAGCGACTAAGTTGACTAATATTTTATCTAAAATCTGGGAACTGAACGTAATCTCTTCTGACTGGTTGCAATCACTGATCGTCCCAATATATGAAAAGGGGTCAAAATCGTCCTGTGGTAACTACAGAAGGATTAGTCTGACTAATATAACGTCTAAAATACTAGCCTCAATAATTATCAGATGCCTAACAAAACCTCGTGAACTGCAAACACAAGAAAACCAGTATGGCTTCAGACCTGGTTGCGGCTGCATTGACCACATATTCACCACTTTCCAGACTTAAGGAAATGTGCATGTTCATCGGCGTCAAACAATGGTGGTCTTTAGTTAAAAGCAGTATTTGACTCTGTAGACCGAGATGTTCTGTGTCAGTGTCTGTCATTAAAAGGTGTACCTCAGAAGTACATAAACCTTGTGAAGGCTCTTTAATCGAAAACTACCAGTCAAGTGAGAACCTGCTTCGGTTCGGGCAATCGGAAGTAGACTTATCCCCCGATAGTTGTTACAGGAACGACGTGAACCATTTTTAAAGATGGGGACAACTATCAACTCATTCCATGACGTTGGCACACTATCTAGTTCCCAAACCTTTGTAAACAACGTCGTCAATTCCTTAGTCAAAAAGTCACCACCATCTTTAAAAAGAGCCGGAGGTAAGTCATCTGGGCCAGGTGATTTGTAACGCTTCAAGAGTTGGAGTTCCTTGCGGACTTCCTCCTCGTTTGGTGGATCAGTCGTCACCGACCATGGAGGGCAGGACAGTCTGACCGATGTTGCCGGAGCAGCAGGCCAGTTGAACTGCCCTTCGAAGAATTCTGCCCATCGTTCAAGACGTCGATGGATGTTAGTAATTGGCATCCCATCATCCTCGCAGATTGTTTCACTCACACCAGACTTCTTGCTGCCAGTGGCTCGGATGAGTTGGAAGAGCTTCCGGTAGTTATCAGATGCAACTGCTGCTTCCAGCTCATTAGCACGCCTCGACCACCAGGCTTCTCGGTCCTTACGCAAGCTTTGCCCAATTTCCTTACGTAACATCCTTCGTTTATGGTCAAACTCACGGTCACCCAGAGTGGACCGACGGGCTTCAATGAGTTGTAAGGAATCTGCAGAAACCCAGTGCTTATAAGCGGGACGTTTCGCGAACCCACAACTGACTGTACCCGCCATTTTTATGGCGTCATGCAATTGCGACCAATGCTCATCTATACTTTTCGGTGGAGTGGTAGCTAGCCTAGAGGCTAGCTCGGTTCGATACTTACTTGCAACAGAAGTTGCAACCAGCTTGCTAATATCAATCCGTTGATGGCGGTCACTTCGTTGTCCACTGAAAAGTAAGGTAAGATTAGCGCAGACCAAGGCATGATCAGAGTCCAGATAGGTACTCCAAAAGAAGCGGCAGTCTTGTACACAACCAGGTCAGTGGTAGCTGATCGCGATGTGATCAATCTGAGTCCAGGCTTGAGATGCAGAGGGAGGATGCCAGGTGGCACATCGGCGATGACTGTGCCGAAAGTTAGTGCTAGCCAGAAACAGGTTGTGGTTTGTGCACAGTTGCAGTAGACGGTCCCCGTTATCTGACCTGCGACCAACGAGTCCCCATCGGCCACCTAAACGACTCTCTTCTGTGCCTAGACGCCCGACCTGAGCATTCAAGTCTCCGGCTAGTACTACAATATCTGTTGAACGCACTTTCTGGAGAAGAACAGAAAACTGGTGGTAAAATTCATCCTCGATTGCATCCGGGCTGCAATCTGTCGGGGCATAGGCGGAGATAACGAAAAGACATCGTTTCTCACGCCGATTTCTTCTCACTTTGATGGAACTTTCTAATCTAACAGCACATAACCGACTGTTTATGGGGATCCAATCGACTAGTGCTGCCTCAGCTCTAGCGCTTAGTGCGACACCAACGCCAGCAAGACCAGACGAAAATGCCACAGGGTTCCCGGATAAGCGCACGTAAAACAAGCTTTTTGAAGTGACAGATGTAGAGCGAATTTGTAGTACTTCACCAGAGTCTTAAATACGGGTCTCGGATAGACAGCAGACATCAATATTAAGACTTTCCAAAGACATAGCCAGCCCTATCTGTTGTCCAACCTGCATAAGTGTTCGAACGTTGAAGGCAGCCAGTTTGAATGACGCACGCGGTTTCAGAAAAACTGCTTCAGTACTCATATTCGGTGGTAACATACAATTTTCAACCGGACATTGACTCGAGAACGTTTAGATACAGTCGGATTTCCACCAAAGACGAGCCACTGTATAAGTATAAAAGAAGGTGAATAATGTGGAAAATAATAATAATAATAATAATAATAATAATAATAATAATAATAATAATAATAATAATAATTTGAATCAATTGGTTGTTTTTCGAAGCGAGAAATGTAGTTTTCATAGACATAGAGAGTTCATCATTTGTGTGTGGGCTGTAATACTGCCCAGGTGCCCAAACCGAAGCAGGTGGTTATCTTAGGGGGCCACTCCCCGAGCCTTTGACCTAAAGGTCTAACCCACAAGGCAGTGGAGCATCGTAAGGAGATGCAATCCCATGGTAGCCGGTGACCAACGATTGGTTCATACGCCATTTGTTCCCTCAGGATCCTGGAGCCCATGTGCACCATTGGTTTGGAATCCGGTTAAAGCGCCGGACATTCGCTTTTCGTCCTCTGATTTTCGTAAACAACACCCCCGCCACGAGAAGGCAATCAATAGGGCTTTCCTGGCAGAGGCTGTATTCGCGCGGCCGTGTGAGAGTATTTCGAGAGGAAGAGCGGACTCTCCCCACTCTTGGCCGTACCAGGGCATTCGGGGGCTGATAAAATGCAGAGTCTTCTGGTAGCACTGAGTAACAATGCCAGAATGTTTGGGATGCGCTTGTCCCCCTTTAAATGCAAGTTGTTGCTTCAGGACTGGCCTGCGTCAACACCCGAACTAAGGATAGAGGGTGAAATAGTTGAACGTGTTGACAACGTCACTTATCTTGGAAGTCTGATCAACCCTAATGGGTTGGTGTGTGACGAAATCTCAGCACGGATTCGAAAAGCTCGTTTGGCTTTTGCCAACTTACGTCACCTATGGCGAAGGCGAGATACTGCGCGGTAGTTCGTTCTGTTTTAATTTACGGCAGCGAAACATGGCCATTAAAAGTAGAAGATACTCGTAAGCTACTAATATTTGTCCACAGATGTCTTAGAAATATTGCTGGCGTCTTCTGGGATCACCGGGTAAGTAATAGTGAGGTTAGACGCAGGGTATTAGGTAATGATGGTAAATCGGTTGATGAGGTTGTGAGTCTTTATCGACTGAGATATTTGGGTCACGTGTTACGTATACCCGAACACCGATTACCACGACACGAAATGTTGACAAGTGTTGTAGATGGTTAGAAGTTAGGAGCAGCTAAACTAAAACATGGCATCAGTTCATGAAGTCATTAACTCCTGGTCTGAGCCATGTTGGTAGATGCAGACTGCTTGGTTGAGGTCCACACAACTGTTGTAACCAATGGTTAGAGACTCTGGATTACATTGCTCGGAATGGATCACAATCTTGTCGGTGTGTACACTTTTTGTCTTCCCTTAAACCGTGAGATTAAAACTACTCTATACCTTTCTTTCTACGAATTATTTCTTTCTCCGTGTATTATATCCTTATATGCAATCTTTTTTATTACGATTAAAGTAACGGCTTCTGTGAATTTGATGTTTACTTTGTTGTGTTAATGGGGTATGACAACTTGGACCGATGCATATATAGGCCTGGTCCGATGTTGTTTATGACTGACCGATTGAATTCCAGTAAATTTGCGGCATCGTTTGCTCGTTTGTCGGATGCAGCTGAAGACATTCATCTAATCAAATCTGTTCTCTACATTTATAAGAAATTTGTACAACTTTTTTCTTGGCCATCAGAACTACTGATACTAGAGCTGGTTACAAATGACTTATTACTTCCCGTTTGTTTTTGACAATGTTCTCAATTTTTGTTTTGGATATTTACTCCTACATAACCGTAAGATCTCCCTCTCCTGTTAATATTCGAACTTTATCAAAATGTTTGTTAACTCTCTAGCTAGATATCATTTAATAATCCTATTCTATAACTAAATATTTCAATCCATATATTTAACCAATAAATATCTTTGCATAGTGATTACTTTATCCATTTGTAATTTTTTAATTACTTGATTAATAGTTTCATCAACACAACGCCATTATATTGTTATTAATTTTATTATTGTTAAACATTTATATTAGTGTGAGATCAAGATGAAAAACTAATCGGAAATAAATAACAGTGATCAACTATAGAAGTCCGATATAGATGCAGTATTTTTTCGGTATTACAATTAATTATTTTCACTGCTATTATTTGATACTGAAATTTAATTTAATAATGAAAAAAATAATACTCGTTTATTTATTCAATCGTTTTGTCATTTACTTTTAATAGATAATTTTTTCTCAGTCTATGGAAGCTCTTTTAAATTTATCTCATGGACCTGGTTTATTGAATGTTGAATTCCTTGAATCGGATATTAATTCACTACCCACACCTTTATTGGAGTTCATATTTCATAAACAACAAATATCCTCATGTTCTAGGGATCCGTTACTTATTAACCAAAGACAAAAACTTTTCAAAGCTCAGAGATTATTAGCATGTCGAGAGATTTTATCTTTGCTTAGTTGTGAAGCAAGTACTTCAAAGGAATATAATCATCTAACTGGTTCTGTCGCTTTTGCCACTCAGGTTAGTTTTTAACACCTATATTTCTCTTGTTATTGATAGTAAGTTAAAATAGTTTTAGAAAAATCTATGGGCCATAAAGCAAAGTTTGGTTACGAATCATGATATTTATGGAAGCTGGTCGATATCATTTTAGTTCGAGTACAGTATCATTTCACTTCTCATGAACGCTAAAACACAACCACTCTTAGCTTCATTTATGTCTTATACCATTATATGATGCTTTCTATAAATCCATTCAAGTAACCTGGTTCGCTTGTATTTCATACTATAACACTGATTACCGTTTATTTTTATTTTCAGTCAAGAATACACTATCCACGTACCCAATGTTCGCCATCTCATCATTCACTTCTTTGAGTTTCATCATCGACAAAACTGAGAAGGAAATGACTAAATAAGATAATCTTAGCTGTCCGTACGTCTGGTTCATAACAACGTGGTTAGATGGCGGTTTTAATTATTTCTCGAGTCTTTGCGTTCAGAACCTTAAGTTCCTCTGCAAATCCACTCTTGAGCAGACACTTTCTTTGTACAGTCATTACAAAGAATTAACTGCAAAAAGTGCTTTCATTAAATGTTTAGTCCTGACCACGATACGTATGATAATGTTTACGAATCTATAGGCCGTAGACGTAGCCAACATATTCTAAATATGAATGAGACATAATCTTTTACACGTTAATATTTTTTCCCTACGTGTTTTACAGTATGTGTGATTCTTAGTCTATACATCACATTTTTTTAATGAAAGATTTATGCTGATAGATTCTTAATATACCCAACATGAATCCTTTAAGATAGTGAAAAGTAGTTTTTGATTACGTCATATGTTTAGTATCTGCGACATTTTTGTTCACAGTCAAACCACAGTCGTGTTTCTTTATATTTAAACAATATAAAATGAACGAGGTAGAAAATTTGATTTGTTTCCTAATTTTAATAGATAATTAGTTTTTGGTACCGCGAGTTAAATAGATAAATGGATGTGGCTTTACTGCGAAGTACAATTTTATGTGCTAAGTTGTTGTGGATTGTGAAAACTGTAATAAGAGATATTTCGAAACCCGTTATTCAATATTTGAAAGCTGATGTTAGCAGACCATGATTCTGTTTCGAAAACTAATAAATCTGTAACTTAGTATATCTCAAATTCTAATAGGATATCAGCTGCAAATAAAGCTAAATCTGTAGAAAACTAAAAATAATGATAGCTATCCTTCAAAAGGTGTCATCTCTATATTATGAGATTGAAATTAAATAACTAGTATAGAATTGTTTATAAGTGAATCATACTGGTTATTTTATGCTTACTTCCATAGGATAAGATCATAGCTACATTATTTCCGGGAGTACAAATATGTCTGTCATCCGCTGTTAGACCTACAGTTTTTGGTGAAGATGTATCGGTTGACGAAAGACCAAAATTGCAAGATAAAAAATCGGATCATACAGTATCTACTATGGACTATTCAAATTGCATAAACTTGCAACTACATCGTATGTTAGCAGGTCAGCATCGTGCAGTGTGGCCGAATCTTGCCAGTTTGCCACAGCCTACATGTGGCCCTGTAGAGATTCCTTTATACTATCGTTCAGGTGGTGCAAATGGATTACATGCTTCGAAATTCTCATCACTACCATATAGCACGAAGTTCTCTGGATTTTCTGTCGCTGTAGCTAGTGTTTCTGGTTTTGCTTCCCAAGCTGCTTCTGCTTTGTGTGTTATTCACTCTACTAACCGGACTAACTCAAATACTGTTGAGAAAACAAACACCTTTAACCAGCGATCCCAACCCATCTTCGCTGGTCAAGATCGCTTGTCGCTCTTCACAGAATGGGGACACTCACTCCCAGGTGGAGCCTGTGTTCCATCAGTTGGGTTTCGTCACGGGGTACCAAACTCTGCTGATGATTCAGTCCCTGGCACGAGTGACATCGCTATGCTGGAATATACCCTGTTATCTCGAGGAGTTGATGAAGACACAATGAAAACTGTTCTTGGTACGAATCCGTCGTTACTTAGCCGAACCATTGCCATATCTCGTCATCACTATCTTCGAGATCAGTAAGTTTATGTATATTTTGACTTGTTTTACTGCTTTATTTTGCAACAACAGTTTTATTCTTCTAGTTCTAAAGGCATGGACACCTTGTCTAAAAGGTAAAAGGAAATCTGTTAGGTCTACTAAGTCCACTTAAATTGCATGGTCTATATATATATATGACTAGATGTACCCAGGGGGGGGGACAGCCAACAGTGAACACATAGATAAAGAGCAAAATAACCACTGCAATATGGTTGAACGAAGAACAATTACAGCAATCAAAAAGGAATGTAACTAGTTTCCAGTCAACGAATAAAATACAGCTAATAAAATTGCGGATGTTCATGGGTATTATTCCCAGAATATGTAAATCAGTTGTGGTTTTCTGACTGATGAGGAACATCATTCCTTTGAAGTCATGTCCATTTAAAATAGATAGAATTTCGAGGAAAAAATTTCTTCAGTGAAGTATCTTTTAATTTCCTTAGTTTATGTAAGAACCTATTTCAACTGAGCTTCGAAGACAATTTTTCTGGTTATTTTTGCATTATGCTATATGTACTCGTGATCTGTTTAGAATGTAATGAGTGATACTGTCTGATAATCATGAACAATCATTAATTTGTTATGCATATATAATCGAATGGTCCTTGTTTGCTTCGAGATTACGTATTGACTGAAGCTTATTGTCAGGTCTTCTGTTCATACAATACTTAACTGTTAATATTATTCTTTTTAATCATTTCTGTCAACATCAAACATTTAGTTTCGTCAACTCAGTGCAAGTCACAAACTTTAACAACTAACTTCTCTTGAGTAAAACTTCAAACCTAACTTTGATACTTTTAATTTTGAGACTATGCATCACGCCGACGACTATGAAGTATCATGTATTAATTAATGTGTTTGAATTAGTTTTTCTACCTTTTTACTTCTCAATTTGATTTCACTTCCAGAGTATACTCCATCATATCCGAACTTTCTCAATGCTCTCCTATTAAGATTATAGCTCATTGGGATACTTTTAATTCTGCTACTGAAACGTCAGTCAGATTGTGTTTTTACTGTACAGATTATGATGCCTATCGTTCGTGGTTAGGTGTAACAATTACACCTAATGGTCTTGTGGTGTTGTATGCAGACCCTCCTAGAACATATCGTTTAGGTATGGATCTAAACAGACTCAGAGATGTTTTGAACAATCAGGTATGTTTATTTAAAAAATTATAGTCCTTGTACAATGAGTCTTTTATTGAGGTTGTACTATTTGATTTTGTAGTTCATTTCAATCATGCACTTACGTAATATTATAAACCGTATTCAAGAATCATTATTTAATGTTTCTGATAATAACTGTTCAACTACTAAGGTATAGCGCTAATTGTTAATTATAAAAATAATGATATATTTACAAAATCCCAATGAGTATAAAATAAAAACTTGAAGTTTCGTGTCTAAGTGTAAACCAGTTCTCCAAAGAATAAATTTTCTATGGCATCTCTGAAGTACAAAGTACTGTTACAAGACTAAAAATACCCTGATTTCATTTAAGCTATTTGATTTAGTTGAAAAGTTCATGTAGTTGGTTAGGTTGACTAAACAACACGTTTGTGACCCTAGTTCTATTATGTACGTGTAAAATTTGTCCTCTCCGAGCTAAGGATGATCTACATACTGATAAGTCTTGTTAATTTGAACGCTTTATTCGGTTCCTAAGCTATTCTGGTAACGCGCAAGCTAGAACTACACAGCGACCTGAACTCGAAAGAAAAGGCGCAAAATAAGCGGGAAACACTTTACTCCAAAGGTTCATTTTTGTACAGAAAAACACGGGTATTTATAGATGTTAACATTTGTTAAATCAACATCATATTTTGGCCAATCTGCTAAAAGACATATTATGCTACTGACCAATAGTAGCACGCCACGTTGATATTCTAGAAAGCTCCATCATGCACTGATTGGCTAGGACACTTCGGCTCCTTTAGGGCCTTTGGAGACTCCGTTGCAGTTCTCGGAAAGCCGACTCAACACATACCTCATGTATTCAGTCATCATTATCTCTCATGGACTGCTGATATCTAGTGCCAACATCATATTAGTAATGGTTAGTTCCATCGGTGCGTATCTGAGCACAGCGATGATGATTCATTTGACATCATATTGAAACATCGACTCTGGTGTTTCGGACATTTCTATGAATGTCATCTCAGTGGCTCCACATAATTCTAGTATTGAGTTGAAAACATTGGGGAATGAGTGTATAGTATCGCATTGTGGCAACAAAGACACCCGTATATTACTGATATCTATCTGTCCATCATGACTTTCGGGCCTGAGTTTTAGAGATCGTCCGTGCTGCGACCTGAGATATTAGAGATTTCTCAGAATATGAGCTATTTCCAATCCTGTCATAATTTTCTCTTGCATTCTTCTGAAAGTGAATCTTCTTAAGTGAAAAAATGTTTCTTTGATGCATTTTTGCATGAGCTGTTTCTTTTAGTAACTACCAATCTTGTTCACTTATTTGCTGATTGTACGACTCTTCCTTCTATTTCTTCATAATATTATCATTTTCTTTTTGTGTAGCGCATGTCTTACTGTGTATAACCGAATGTGTTATAAATAAGCAAATGCTTTAGATTAGTCTGTTGTAAGATATTGATAATACTTGCAAGTAGTTGTCGTTTTCACATGACATACACGCTTTGGAAAATCCATTTATATTAGTAAATAAGGTTTATAAATGAATTCTTGAGTATATTTTTGGTTTTTGAGTACATTATCTTGAATAATGATATTATCCTTCCTATCTCCTAAGGTGATATTGGTGAGTGTATGTATCAGTATGCTCAGTTAACCCACTTTGTTACAAGCTACAAACTGACTAGAAAAAAGTAGAAATTAACCGATCAAAATTAAGAATAAGTGCCTGGTCAAGTCATCCAACCCACAAAACCTGCTGGAAAATAGTTTAGATATCATCAACTATAAATTTTGAAATCTTGAATTGTTTGTTTTATTTATTTTTTATAGATAATTAACTCTTAATTGTTTGTTATGTTCTAAAAACCTTATTCATCATAATATAAAAAGGCTTTAGTGCCTATTTATAACTAGCAAAATTAATGACCAAATATCATGTAGTAGTTATCTTAACTCAGCATATTCTTGTTTTCAAAGTTATTACATAGTATTAACAAATAAATGTCTTCCACTTAGATTTCCTTTCCACTGATCTTCAACTTCAGGTATTGTATACACAAATGAATTATATAGATATATTGGCTATAAAAATTTTGGGTTGGGTTCGACTAGGGAATAATCCATTTTCAGCACTAGCCAATCCTGAAGAAATCGGTGATGGTCCAGTGATAGTAAAAATGTTTGCATCTCCTTCTGCTAAACAGTAAGCTGATATTTCGTATACCAATCTTTTTCCTTTGTGTTTCATGAATATTACTGTTAATATCCTTTCCACACAATTATTTTGTTGTTACAATTTACTTACATATGATCATAATATGAACTAGTCCAATCCTAATAGTAATGTGTGAGTGATCTGAAGTTTATTGGTAAATTTAGCGAAACTGATACTCAATATTAATGCATCTATTACATAGTTTATCTGAATCCAGTAGGATTATATTTAGTTCATAAATGATTGTGAGCACTACTTAGACATTTTTGTGTATTTTGAAGCGGAACGAACTGTAATATTACAATGTCGATAGGTACTGTTATTCAATATCAGATGACAGAACGTTAGGTGTGAACAGCTGTTAAGTAGATCTAATTTTAGAGATGAAATACTGAATACATATATCTTTACTGTTGGGATATATTTCTAGTCACAGGATTTGATTTCAGTTCCTTAAGGTTACTATTTAATAAAACCATGGTTCCTTTCAATTGCTTTATACAGTGGCGATAAATCGTTACATGATAACAATGAAACACCCGCCATTATACCATTACTTTTAATGTGTTATTTACCATTTTTCCTGTTTCGACATTAGCAACATGTGTACAAAACTTAATAGCATCGTTAAATATATGTACCTTTTTACTTGAAACTGTAAACAGTCTCAGTCCTTCGATTATCTAAACAAAGCTGAGTAATACTATAGGCTTAAATAGTCAAGTTTATGTTTACACTAGTCAGTTGGATAGTTTTAGTTTCATACACATACTAACTATCAGAACCTAAGTGATAATTTTCATTTTTTGAAATTACAGTACGATAGTCGTTAAAATTAGTTTCAAACAAGGAACTAAAGTTAGCACTTGTGTACAAAAGGATTAAAATTCAAGAACGTTAGCGTGTACTTGGTAAATGAGTGACACTGAATAATTTAGAAAAACACCAAATTGTTTGAAGTCTAAACAAACATTTTAAAAATGAACTCTTACTGAGCCTCCTAGTTATTAGTCATTTTCTGGTGTTATTTACATCGTGTAAATAAAATCCATCGCTTTTACATCCCTTACTGGAATAATTCTAAAGATCTTGAGGATTCTAAGTGATGTTTTACTTCAAATCGCTTACATCTTAAAGCTTTCAAATAAGTTATTTTATTATTACACTAGTACTAGTAAAAATATTTTCTGCTATTTACATTTCCTAAAAAAGACAGATTGACTCGTTTGAAGATCATTCCAATTGTTGTGTTTGTCCTAATATATCCTATACAGAATAAACGAGTTCCTGCTTGAATAGAGTTACTTATTGCTATTCTAAAATGTCATGGATAACACCTCATTGTTTTGTAATTTCATAGATGAGTCCCATAAAAAACACTAACAGAAATCAGGATAAAATTCAGGCTGGACGAAACGCACATCCTAGATTCCGTTGCTAATATAGGAGGAAATAATATTTAAAAGTATATTCTGAAATATTTATTGATAGTCATCCTAAAGCCCATACAGTATGTATTACTGACATATATTTGTTTCTTCGAAAGATTTTCTTGAATCTCTTTTATTTACTTGTAAGTATTTCTCATGCTCTTTCGTCGTATTGATTTTTGGTGTTACACTTTCTTTTATCAAACACCTGTTTATTGGGAAATGTATTGGTTTTAATTTGTTGTTAAGTTTCTCTTTCTGTTTCTTCACACCTTTTTAGTTTAATTTGTTTACGTGCAAGTGCTGTCATGGATATTCGAATGTTTGTTTCTCGTTGTAGTCCATGCGACTACCCATTTACTACCGATCATAAAGATATATTTTCAAATCAAGACTTTCGTGAAGTATTTATTTCTCATATGTATGGAAAAAGTTTGGTGTCCAAAGTTGAAGCACTTATGACTTTATTATCCTAATGAAAGTATTATAAAAGATTTTGTTTTAATTGTGTAAATAAATATTACTTTATACATTCACTTTCTGATGTCAATTATACATCTAAAGAGGTGTAATTGTTAGTCGTTTATGAATTAAGATTACCAGTAGGTCATTCAAAGGTGTACCTCAGAAGTACATATACCTTGTAAAGGCTCTTTACTCGAACACTAATAGTCTAGTCAGAGCTTACGGCGAACTGTCATCTACTTTTGCAACCTCAAGTGGTGTCCGTTAAGGCTGCCCACTTTCTCCATTTCTGTTTAGCTTCATCATAGACCTACTGATGGAAATAACGTCCTCGTCGACTGAATTCTCGGGTATTGATCTCTTTCCAGGAGGTCCACTTATCGACTTAGAATATGCAAGAATGTTTGGAATGCGCTTCTCTCCCTCTAAATGCAAGTTGTTGCTTCAGGACTGGCCTGGGTCAACACCCGAACTAAGGATAGAGGGTGAAATAGTTGAACGTGTTGACAACGTCACTTATCTTGGAAGTCTGATCAACCCTAATGGGTTGGTGTGTGACGAAATCTCAGCACGGATTCGAAAAGCTCGTTTGGCTTTTGCCAACTTACGTCACCTATGGCGAAGGCGAGATATCCGTCTATCAATAAAAGGACGGGTATACTGCGCGGCAGTCCGTTCTGTTTTACTTTACGGCAGCGAAACATGGCCATTAAGAGTAGAAGACACTCGTAAGCTATTAGTATTTGACGACAGATGCCTTAGAATTATTGCTGGCATCTGCTGGGATCACCGGGTAAGTAATAGTGAGGTTAGACGCAGGGTATTAGGTAATGATGGTAAATCAGTTGATGAGGTTGTTGATCTTCATCGACTGAGATGGTTGGGCCACGTGTTACGTATACCCGAACACCGATTACCACGACACGAAATGTTGACAAGTGTTGTAGATGGTTAGAAGTTAGGAGCAGCTAAACTAAAACATGGCATCAGTTCATGAAGTCATTAACTCCTGGTCTGAGCCATGTTGGTAGATGCAGACTACTTGGTTGGGGTCCGCGTGACTTTCGTAACCGATGGTTGGAGACTCTTGGTGACATGGCTCAGAATCGATCACAATGGCGTAGGTGTATACACTCCCTGTCTTCCCTTAAACTAACAGACTAAAATCACTTCATATCTTTCTTTCTACTAACTAATTCTTTCTTCCTGTACTGTATCCTTATATGCAATCTTTCTCCTATATATTAGCACCTTTGACCTAACCACTCATATGAATCCGGTGTTCATCTTGCTGTGCTAATGCGGTACGGCAACCTGGACCGATGCATATATGTGCCTGGTCCTACGTTGTAGCTGACTGACATAAAGAGTTTATTAAATCATTATTTGGTATACCTTCTATACTGCTAATAATAATAATAATGAATGAAATTTTTGATTTGAACTTAAATTACGAATTTTATTTAGATAACATGATTACCTAATCCTGTTAGTAATTAATAGTGTTACTTTTGACGTACGATGTCCTTATTACCAAACTATCCGGATTAATTTCGTTCCATAATTAAGATTACGTTTGCCTCCGGTGTAATGTTAATTAAGTCATGAAACTAAGTATTGTTAAGTAAAGTTTATCTCTAGCATCCTTGTATCTAGCCAAGCGATCAAACAGGCAACGGACAAATGCCTGTATGAATGAAATCAAAGTCAAGTGTATACACATGTATATACAAAGTGTCGTGAATCAAAAATCCATCTTGAGCGTGACAAATCCGTCAGAAAAACGTGCATAGACACTCATAAACGCATATGTGTACACAGATAAGAGTTTACAATTATTTATAAGAGGAAGAACAAAGTAACCAATGCTACTGTAATTATAAGCTTGACAACGAAGCCCTTTTCTCATACCGTTCTGACAAGGCCCAAAAGGATAGGCATGCAGAATAACGGAAATAAGTGAAATGATCAACCTGTCCATAAAATAGGACAAAGTTCCCACAAGCCGATCCTAAAAGATGATTCCAGTGCCTAGACGCGATCAGTGCTCATCATATGTTCAACCTTTAAGCTATTGCCGAATAGCATCCATCTTAAGATCGAAGTGCAGAGTAGTATTATAACATTTGTTTAACGAGTTTACTCGTCGTTCGACTAATGACATTCACATGAACAGGTAAACAAATAAATTAGGATTAAGGCTTTCGAAAGCGGCTGTTTGTCGTTAACGTCTCTCCAAATGAAGTGTCTGATAAAGAAAACTCGAAGCTGAATAGAAACTATCTTTAAGATTTCTTTTCAGAATAGATGTTCATGAACAAAATCTTTAGTACTGTTAGAGTATTTCCGAGTTGCTATTTTAGTTTTACACTAATTTAGATGTCTCTGGCTTAGAAAACCACTCAATTGTTGTTCATCGGATTTTACTCATCATCGCAGTCAGGCTTCAAAGATATAAAATTAATTGAGCTCTGGTTGCCTAGTAACACCCAACTTCGAAAGCTTGTATATTGTCTGTTACACGTTGACTTTCTATATACCGATCTTCGTTGAAAGCGCTCTGGTCATCCCTACAGAAAAACATTGAGAAAATGAAATTCATATTTTACCTCCGATTTTATTGTGAAGGTGTTAGCAACTATTGAACTGATGTAGGGTGTTATTAACATCCATGTTCTCGCCACATAATGGAGGTGTTGTTCATACAATTCTTGTATTGTTGTTCGAAGGACTGTTCTCCAGAATGATCACGATACTCAGACCCAGAAGTGAGTCTATTTTATTCCGATCAATCTGCTCATATAAGTAATAGTTAAATCTGAATTGAATGTTGAAGTGCAACGTAGTATTTTTCTATGCAATGTTTTGCAGTACCGATTCGGATTATGTTATCTTAAATATAAATACATAAGAAGCAGATTGTATGTGTAAGAGGAACATTATAAAGAGAAAAGCAAAATCTAATGATATCATTTTCTTTCCTAATAAGTTGATTTCGGGTATTCAATAAGCGAAATCATAGGGATCAGAAACTCTATATCGAATTATCTAATATATGACTGGTTGTGGAATTTCCACTAACAATTTGGGAGTTATTTGGTATGAGAAGTTATTAACTTCAATTATAAGTCGAAGAGGAACATATATTATTAAACTTTGGGAAATCATAAAACGGTCGGATAGTGAAACCTGATAATTTTAAATGTTCAAATAGGTCACTGATGATGGTTGGTTCATTTATTTTAAAAGAAATTTTATCAACATTTATTCAGCTTGGTTGGTTGTATCTATTTAATTATTTCTTCAGAATACTTATATGCCTCTGTCAGTTTAAAAATTAACTTAATAATATAATCCAACAAAATATGCTGAAGCATATTCTCATTTTATCCGTTTCCTCAAATAAATTCTTAAATTAAGGAGAGTTATTACTGTGACCTAATACTGAAGTAGATTAATTGAAAAGTAGCTTTATAGTAGTGTTACTTCTTTTTTTAATTAAAACAATTGCATCAGTTAAACAATGAATATCTGTAATTTGTATTGTTTAATTTTTCTGCACGTAAATACAAATAAACAATAGTAGTTATTTATTTACTTACGTTAATAAAGTAAACATGTGTTTTTGTGGATTAACTTAATGCTTAAGATACTCACCTTTAATTGTTATTCACGTGTCATTTATTTGATTATACTCTGTAAAAATTGAATACAATAAACAATTACTTATGGATGTATAGTGATAAACTCTCAAATTCAGTAATATATTTATTTAAAACTCATAATATAGTAGAACATTGTATTCCGACTTAACAATGATAAAATTATAAGTGGATATAGTTAATATATATTATATTACTAGTAAACAAAACAAGTGAACATATAATATTGACCTTATTGTCTATTACTATAGCAACAGGCAGTCAGTTTTTCCAGCTTATTCTGAATTATCCGGATGCTATCTTATATGTGTAAACAAGGCAAATTCATCTATGCTCCCTGTATGTCACAATATGAATTGATTCTGCAAAACATAATTTTCTCTGCATATCATAAGAAATTCAAGTCTTAAACAATGAACTATATATATATATATAGCCCCGCCCTAAACCGTGTTCAACAATTAGATTAAAACATCTGAATTATTACAAGAATTTTGGTGATAATGATAAATTCATAGTTTAAGTGTTTGCCGTCACTGATATTTGAAAGGATAATATAGAATAAAAAACGAAATAATTTCTTATGAGAAGAAATAACTTATTGTTGAACCGTAAATTCAAACGATTAACACTCTAGATGAGAATAAACTTGTGAAAATAAAATAAAGTTCATTCATTCCCTCAGAAGGTATTTCTGTTTGATGAAGTATAAAAGTAAAGTTGAATTCTCGGTTTTTTATGATATTCAGGACGTGTATTTCTGTAAGTTAGTAGCGATTTAATAGCATGGGATATTAGTGGATTAAAGAGAGTTTAACAATTATTTACTGACTCCTGTACTGTGAGATTCGATCCTGAATGTTTAGTCCCCAAGTTCATGAACTTGATAGACTCTAAATGTTACCATAAAAATAGGAAATTTTCTTTATTTTATTAGATAAGTTATAAAATCAAATCCAACTCTTCCAAATTATGGGAAATAGTAACAGATAATCTTAAATAAATGCAAATTTCATCGTTCACAATAATCTTATAACTGATAGGAAGCTAATGATAACCGAAAATGTTGAAATTGAACTACAATTAATAAAAACATTCAATTGGATTATTTACACAACAGATTTTTTCAAAGGAGTCAGCTGTATGGTCAGCTTTTTAATTTTACTTTCATTTGAAAAATCCTGTTCTTTAGTATATTAAGTATACATTATGTATGTGAAATTTCAACAAGTTGTGAATGACCATTCTAGAAGTTACAGACCATTTTTACTGACGTTCCATCAATTGAAATTAGGAAACACATTTATCGAAAATATGAGAATTTTCTACTGGATTCTATGTAATCAATTCTGTAATGAATATAAATAAAATAACTACCTTTTTTACAATTTCAATGACATCACTTTTCTATAGAAAAGAGAATAATATACGGTTAGGAAGTTATGAAAGATCAATGTAACTTACAATAATCGAAAAATGTCACTGTACTAAATGTATCTAGAAGGAATATCAAGATCTAATTCTTTTTATAATAT